ATTACTTAATCAGTCTGAGTCATTTTCAGGAACCAACTCAGAATTGTATGATTCCCACTTCAAAAATGTGATTATTTGTTTATTTGTTTATTTACATCCTCTGTGACAGAGGATAAACTAAATTTCTTTTAGTTGTAGCCATAACAAGACACTTGAGGTCATCATCTTGTACTTTAGGACACTGATGGACATTTTTTTTTTTACCATTTCTGACATTTTAAAATGCAAACAACTGCTAATCGAGAAAATAATTGACAGATTAATAGTGAAAAGAGTAATTAGTTGCAGCCCTAATTTGTGGCTGTAAATGAAAGTAGCTTTCTGCTGTATGTCCCACTGGACTACAGAATGTGTTGTTTCCTCTGGGGGTGGAAGTGTTAATGTCTGACACCCAAATGTAAAACGGCTAAATAAAGCAAATCTACACGGCGTCAATACGAGGACGCTGTGGTGAGTCCAGCTCGACTTTGTGCTCTTGCGACACGGCTGGTCTTTCATGCTGTGAACCAAATAAAGAAATCTAAAATACAACAGATGCATCAAGCTTTCTGTTGACAGAAGATTTGCTTGGTTATTTAAAGGGACAATTTGTCTTGTCGGTTCCTGCAGAAAGAGAACTGTCTACACTCACAAGCACCCTACTTTGGGATGACTCTATTGTGTGGATGATAAAACTGCTGCTACAATCATGCATTGTTTTTGTTTTTGTTTCCTAAAAATAAGAGTATTGAAAAAAAAAAAAAAACTCAGAATCTATTTATCCATCATCCAATCAAGTGTTAAAGCCATCGACAATAGTATAGTTTGTGATATTTTTTCACTTTTTTGTAAACGTCTGATCTGTTTATCAAGTCAAAATATTTCCTTGTCATGTAAAGTGATTTATTACATGTTTCTTTTTTCACTTTCGCAGCTTCACAGCCTGACATCTGCAGCAGTGATATTATTGTGTGTATAGATGCCTCCCTTATAGAACGTGACCTCTTTAATCAGTAAAGTAACTAATAGAATATGACAGCAGGTAGCTGAGTAGCAATAAAAACACATTTTATTGTTTGATTGTAAGTTACAAGATAAGTAATCATTAGACTGTGGACAGCTTTTTTCTTCAGCTATAGATTCTGTTGGATTATTATTAAGTATTTCTTTGTGACTGCATTTCCTCTCCTGGACTGTTTAAAAGGTCTGTCAACCTAATTACCATCAAATAAAATGTATTTATAAAGGTGTTTCCACTGCACACTATCACATATGGAATAGAAGAATAGAATAGAATAAAACTGTATTGATCCCTTCGGTGTAAACCTCAGGGAAACTGTTGAAATGATTATATCTGTAAATCATCATAAATAAGACTAATACCAAACTATCCTGCTCTCACTGTGATATTAATGACAACATGGGCTGAGCACATAAAGAAAGTCACTTTGCAGACAGATCAATATCTCCCGTTTTATATTCATGTCCCTCTGAAATAACTTGAGTTATCAGATTCAAATCAACACCAAGCAACACCTCTGCTTGAGCAAAACAGCTTCAGCTGTTCTGCAGCTGGTTTCTTTATGAATAGAAGTGAGACAAACTGAGATCAGTGTATTTATTTATTGAACATTTATTTACCCAGGAAGTCCCCTGAGATTAAAATCTCTTTGACGAGGGAGACTCGGCCAGGAAGGCACACATTTATAATGTTACTAAGATTATAGAATGGAGTGAGACAGCTATTAAAACAGGATAGAAATTAAGCACTTTGAGCTCAGACTAAATCATGAAGCTGCAGTGAGTTTTGCAGGTTATTCAAGGACCAGGGTGCAAAATATGAGAACGCTGCTCCACCAAGTTCAGAGTAAATCCTGGATATCCTGCTGAGCAGCCAATTAGATTAACAAGAATTAGAACCACTGATGTAAAAGAAAAAGAAAAAGAAAAAAAAAACATTTCCAAAAACATGAAGGCTGTTTAACCAGTCTTGCTTTGTCAATAAATATATAATGATAGTTAAAAAAATAAAAATAAAAAACAAAAATCATATAGTAGCTTTTAAAAACAGTTAACAAAATGCTTTCACAGACAAGGCAAAAACAAGGAACATACTCAGGAAGACAATATTACAGCAGAAACCCAGTCAGCTCAAACAGAAAGAAGAAAAAAAAGACAAGAGAAGAAAAAAGTGTAGAAATAAAGTTAAACATACTAAAAGATGCAAAATAAACAAAAACACATAGACATATAAAATTTCAATATAAATAAATGAATAGAACAAACATCAACTGATATGAATAGAATAATAAAAGCACACAAAATACACAGCAAAAGAGACAAAAAGAGAGTCACATAGAAACAAGTCTGTATGAATTAGTTTTAAGAAGTGATTTACAAGAACATGCTGATGTGTCAGTGCTGCTGTCTCCGATGAATTACATAAAAACACAGAGTTCATATATATCACTGTGGGTATTGTTAAAATGGGACAGTTATGCTTTATAATGTGTAAAGGGTCACATGGGTACAAAGAGCTGACAGGACATCACATACATTCACACTTGTTGCTGTATTTTCAGGTTATTTGTCAGCTGAAGCATCAGACACTTGGATCCGAACAGTAATGTAAATATCGTTTGTAATATTAGTTTCAGCATCTTGTAACATTTCATTTTCATGTGCAATACTTGGATGACGTGTAATATTTCACTTTCATGTACAACATTGTCAGTAAAATTTGCAATATTTTCTTTTTTCAGGCACAATAATTTATTTCACTTCATTTACTTTCATTATCTCAGCTAACATCACTTTTTACTTTCGTTGACTTATTTTATGTTCAACATCTTTTTTCTTTTCTACTAGACATTGCACTTCTTATGCTATGTCATTTACTTTTTTTTCTGAGCAATATCTAGCAAAAGATGTTGACATTATTTATCTTGTTTACTGTCTTTCTTTCTTTTCTTAAAAACAAAATAAGCGGTGTCCCATTGTGCCAGTAGCATCTGCATTAAGTGTTCCTAAGATATCAGTTCTTTGATTATTAATTAGTAAATAACACCAATTTTGTACCTTATTGTAAATACTAACTAATTTTGCACATTTTTGTAAACACCAGCATTTTAGGCACCTCGTTGGTACTTCTCTGATTTCCATATTAATTGCACATAATGTTGTACTTTGTTCACTTGTCTAGCTTGTATGCAACATGTGTGTGCTACTGGATGTCTTGAATTTCCCCCAAGAAGCTGAACAAATCATCTATTCTTTTGTTTTTTTCCCTCTGTGTATTACAATAAATAGATTACTAGAAGTGTATTACGTTAGAAGGTGAGGCTTTGGAGTGATTCTGTAAACTGAGTATAAATGTCCAGAATATGTCCCATTTTATCAACACTCACTCTAACTCCTTTTTGCTGTCACTGTTTCAAAACAAGCCAAAACAAGCATCCATGCACTCTTTATTACTTTGCACATCTCTTGCATCATTTCCACTCCAGTAACTCTTTTTTATTTTTCTCCTTTGCTTGCATCTTCTGCAGCACCTCCGCTTATTTTGCAACTTTCTCATCCCTCCCTCAGCATAACTTTGGGAAATTTAGGAAGAAAAAAAAAAAAGAAAGAAAAAAAAAAGAAAAAAGAAAAACAAGTGTTCTTCTCGCGATAGCAGCTTGCTTCAGCAGCCGCCATATTCTGTGACAGTATTTTGATTCGTATCTGCTGGAAGTGAGGAAAAAGAGAAAAGTGAAGGGCCGTCCAGGGGAGGGGGGGGCGACCGACGAGGAGCTGTCAAAAAGGTATTCCGGAGTCTCTGTCAGGCGGCGGAGGGCCCAGGCTCGCTATCCCTCCCGGAGCGCTATTTCGAGGACACAGAAGGCCCGGGGCCTCGGTGCAGCTGGCTCTTCGTCTCCCTGGTAGTAGCTGGACCCCTCTCGGCTTCTCCTCTCGCAGCTCCGCGGCCCTCCGGAGGTCCGGCGGCGGTCTCGGGTGTCGAAGGCGGCCCGGGGAGGAGCGGCGGCGGCAGCAGCAGCGGCGGAGACTGGAAGGTAAGTTAAATTAAGCTTTCGCCAGTTAGCAGCGACCGGAAGAATACATGCTTTAATAGGGCGAAATGAGGGGCGAAAAAAAAAGCATTTCGGCGTCTTGTGAGGCAAGTTGCTTGTGAATACGGCGTGTTTCTGTTTGAAAGAAAATGGAGAGAAAAAGTTTTCAGATGTGGAAAAAGTTTTTGTCTACAGCAGGCAGCTAGCTAGGTTAGCTAGCTGGAAGTGTTTGGAGGCTGTTCCCATCTCGGTCGAGTTAGCAAATCACTGTCTAAAGTTTAAAACCGACTCTCTCCCAAGTCCTCTTTAATATTAACATTCCTGAGAGGTTATTACAGCTCGTTTTATTTTATCTTTAAGCTGCCTGGCGCTACATGTTTTGTAGCCCATGTTAGCCCATGCTACTTTTTCCATTGAGCTGCCCGTTGAAACGTCGCAAGATTAGTCGTGGATGGAAACGTTAAATCACAAAACTGAAGCTTCACTCAACCTCCTACCCGAAGGGTTTTATCTCCAAACAAGCCTCAAAATCAAACCCCCTACGACACTGACACTATTTTTTGTGTAGCAGGGAAACATTCCTATTAATGAAGCTATATATTAATTCACTGTATAATTGCTGTACCAGTTAATGTGTCATGAATAGCTTTTAATGTGTAATAAGCTCTAATATGTGTGTAAAGGTGCATATCATGTCCTTAAAGACTACAAATGGAGCCTCTCAGGTCTAAACGCTTACTGTGGTTTTAGTGTTGCACAACTGTGGCCAAGTTACACTAAAAAGAGACACACACTGTTTTAGATTGTGTGTTTAATATCTGAGGCGATAACTACACTTTTTGTGATTTGTGACAGTTGTGATTGAAACTGATACAGGTGGAGCCAAAAACTGACAGCCCTGGTGTTGCTGTTGTTGTTCTTGGTGTAGTTCAGATGAGATATGTTTGATCCTGTGATCATTTAACCTGTCGGGATGTTGACTTCTCTGTTGTGTATTCTTTATGCCTGTGAAGCCACTGAAGATGTCAGCACTGACTGAGAGGCACGTTTGACCTACTTTTAAATAGAATGGTTATTTTCATTGTGGATTTATCATTGTTTTTCAATTAATCGATTGGTTTCTTGGACTATGAAATGTCCGAAAATGTTGAAAATGTGTCTTTCCAACGCCCAAGATGACACCTTCACATGTCTTGTTTTGTCCACAACCCATTATATTTAGCTGAAAATATTTGATTTTAAAAAGCTGGAATCAGAGGATTTTAACTTTCTTCAAAAGTTACTCAAACCAATAAATCGATTATCAAAATACTTGCCGGTCGATTAATAGTTGCAGCTCTGTTTTTAAAGTTGTTGGTAAAACAGGAGTTGTTTCAAAGTTTCAGTGGAACATGACTGAGTGAGTGTAAAACTGGTTTTCTTGCTTTTTTTCTACATGTCGAGGTTCATTTTCCTGCACTCCAAGCTGTTTTTAATCAGGGTGATTGCATCCAAATTTAACAGGAGTATTACTATTTGGTGACAGGTATTTCAGTGTTTTTTTAAATTTTGTTTTATTTGCAGTGTGTGGTTATAAAGCTCCTTTCAGTCCATGGTAGCATTTGGACATTTGTGGTGGTCTACTTGGCACTGTGAAACCCCCTCTGGGTGTGTTCAGACAGACTGCGTTTCTCCATGTTGTGTTAGTTAAGGCTGGTCTTCATATTAACACGAGCCACCAGTCAAATGATGCAGAATGTTGGTTGTGGCTGGAAAGTCTGTCGGCTCTACCAGCCAGTTTGGAAGGTAATCAATCTGTGTCCAATTAGTGTTTTTATTCCAAAACTGGCAGCTAAGCGGTGGAATTGCCCTTTGAAATCGTGAGTCGACGTTGTGACGTAGAGGTTTGACTTTCACTCTGCTGTCGTTTGAAATCACGCAGTGAAAGCACGGCCTACCTGACTGTAACTTTTATAATCCAGGCTTCTTATATTACTTTCTCTCTCTCTCATTCAACTGACTGGCTCTTTTGCTTGACTGCTTTAAAAAGTTTATTCGCATCTCCTAAAGAACTCAGAATCACTTCTCTGCTGGCCTCTAAACACCTCCGATCTTTACCGAGTTGTCATATCTAGACTGTAAGAGTGTATATCATTCATTAGCAGCTTGTGCCTGTCTTGACTTGCAGTCAACATCGCACTTCCTGACCAATAAGCTGCCATGGCCAACTGTTTATAGGTGCAGACCCCTAACTGAAACCATGTGTGCCTGGAGCTGGGCAAATATGTTGCTAGGAGACCTTGCTGATTTGCCACTCTTTGGAGACTCGGCAATGAATGCGTAGAGCCTGTATGATAAGTACTAAATTGGGATTTGGGTGCAGATCATTTAGTCGTGCAGAACAGCAGGCTGCTAATTGCTTCATTTGGTTGTTATTAAGCATATGCTAACGGGCTAAATGACTCTTAAGGGAATGCACGGATTATAAATGCAAACTCAGAGTGTGTTAGTTGCCAGGATGCTTGTTTATAAAGTTGAAGAATTAGGCTCACTGGTTGCATTTGCTTCTGTACAATAAACAAGCAGAACCGACACTCGCGTTGGAGAACTTTTACAACAAGCTGAGTTTATGGCGTGTTGTCGCGAGGTCCGTGCCAGTGCTCAAATCTTCTTTCCTGAAAAACCTGTTTCCTGATTTATCATTTGCAGTTTGCACAACAAGTTATCACCGCAGAGCGAAGGGTGGTAGTTTTTTCCCCCCTCTTCTTCACAACGGGAAGGATAATTACTGCATATGAGTGCGCTTGGATCTAGTACAAATGCTTGTTGTTTGGATGAACAGTGCAGAGTCAGTTTAACCCAGGAAATCATATTGGCTTACCTTTTTCTGAGTGTCAGGAGAGATTCTCTGTAAAAGGCTGCGAACACTGAACCACTGTAGCTATAATTTGATGCATGTTCTTTCAGGCAGCTCTCTGCTCAGCGACTTGTCCTGTTAGGTTATTATACAGTGTGTGTTTTCTCCAGAGTTAGTTAAGTGTCAGTGTAAAACCTGTAATGCCAAATAGGAGTCAAGTAGGTGGAAGGGAAGGATCCATCACATTATGCTCATTGCTGCAGACTCAGGAAGAGGGCTCAGTGTTTTTAACCCTCCCCCTCTCCAGTGTGTGGCTGTCAGGAAGAGAGGCGCTTATTGGAGCCCCCTCCCCCTGTCGGGTTCTCCTGACTTCTCCGCTTTAAATGGAGTCCTCCATTACACATGCTGCACATGGTCGTCTCCAGTTCAAGGGTTAAATTGCATGCAATGAGGCTGACACTGCACAGTCCACTATACCTCAGAATGCCGACTGTTAGGCGCTTGGTCATTTTGCAGCAGCTTTACAGTTGACCCACTGTGACATCCCTTATGATGACACGCAATCATTTGAGATTTGTGCATCTGCAGAAGTGTGTAGCTGTGCATGATGAGGCTTCATTTTGATATGACAATGATGCATTAATTGTTTTTTCGATTTGTGCACTCACTGATGCAGAAGTACTTCTTAATGAGATGAAATATTTTTAACTTTTGTAAGTTTACACATCCAGTTAGACACTGCACAAGCTTTCATATGGAGTTGTGTTTTTAGCAGCCTGATGTATGCAAGATTCATATTCAGTCCCATTCAAGCTTTGGATTGGTCTGCTTCTGTCAACAACATTTTGGTCTTTAGTTGCTGATGGCTTAACTTTCTTGAGTTGCTGCTGTGCAAGTACATAAAACATGAATTTGATATATTTCCCAGAAACTGCTTTGAGCAGTGTGAGCTGTAAAACTAAATCTTGAGACTAAATGAGGCTTTAACGCTGCATAATTAATCAAATGTTAATCAACCTTGCATGTTGCCCTCGTAGAAAACCAGAAGTAGCTCATGTGGATAAAATCACATGTTTTCAATTTGAGTAAATCTGACATTAGGATGCCTTTTATCACTCTTTTCAAAGTAATTTTCGGTCTCGCTTGTGTCTTGAGTTATTTAAACTGTAGTACCTGAGTGGAGACTAGAGGCTTCTCTGTGCACGGCTGCCGAGCTAGCAACTACTGCAGCCTGCATGTGAGGTGTGCTTTTGAACATTGGTGAATTCTAGCGTTTCTCCATAAACACATGTTCAGCAAGTAAGTTTTTTTTCTAGGTACAGATTTGTTAATATTTTGTCTCGAGAAGATGCACTAAATTCAGGATGTGTACTTGGATAATAGTGTGGCACAACATGGAAGTGAAAGCAGCGCTGTTTATATTTAAATGTGAATTGCACTGAAAATATTTTGTCCAGACAATCAATAAAGAGATGTGATCTGAATATGAATCTAAAATAGTCCTGATTATTTATTTTTGGCCATTGTTGTGCAGCCCTACAAGGCTTAAAAGCTCCAGTGTTGGTGATAATTCTCAAATTAGGCACTGATTTATTTTTTTAATACCTCACCTTCGTAGTATCTGTACAGCATATCAGTAAATGGTTTTTTTTAAGAACGTAAAATTGACAAAATAAGTAATGGATTGATATTTAATGTATACTTTAATCGTATTTTAATAAAATGCTGTGTCAATTATAGTAAAAAGTTATCTGGTTTAGATAAAGAAATGAGTCATCATGACTAAGAAGTTCAGATTAGTTTCCAGACAGGTCTGATACTAGACAACTTTGTGCTTAAAACTGTTAGAATTTTAAACTCATTCATAACGCAGATGGTTTTTTAGATGACTCGACAATGAGCCAAGTTTCTCATGTCAAACTGACTAACTGCATAGAATGCAGATAAGGAAATTAAGATACATGAAGATTAGGTAATGTCTGATGAAAATGTTAAGTGTTTAATAGATGTGATAGATAAAGATGTGGAGTGTTATAAAAGACAACTGTGATGTTCACTGGAGCTGAAACTGACTGATCTCAAAAGATGTGAACGGACTTCCAGTCTTACAGTTTACATTTCCATTTGATCTGGAAAATGATGATAAGTGCCACTGACAGTTTCCATT